CTTGGGCCTTCAGCATGCCGTGCTATCTGTGCTGCTGGGTTCCTCTGTCTCAGCTTTCCTGACCCTTCCCCAGCCACAGGAGACTTCTCTGTCCTCCTTGGAGATGGTCCGAGTTTGCAAAGGCTTCTCCTTCCTTGCCCCGTGCCTTGGCATGCACCCCTCGTGTAGCCTCTCTCTCTATCTTGCTCTCAGACTTCCTCATGGGCACTTGAGCCAAGTGCATCTGCTGGACCTTACAAACTGTCACACCAGCCTGGATTCCACTTTTAAATTTTCATTAAAATTCTTCTGTTTTGTCTTTGATGGTTGCTTCTTGGTCCTGTTGTTCTGTGAAGGATGCAGACTGTGTGTGTGTGTGTGTGTGTGTGTGGTGTGTGTGTGTGTGCACCCACCTTCTTCCCAAGGCCTGGCTTGTCACTTTTTGGATTTTCAAGTCATTGGGGTTTTTGGCATCCTCAACTCCTAGAGGTATTTTTTAAAATAATCTATGATTTTGTAGGTATTCCATCTTATTCCTATTGTTAGGGTAGGAATGATGTCATAATTTTCTACATTCTAAGTAGAAGCATAGCTCTCTGGTGATTAATTGTTTGAATTAACTTTTGGAACATACAGTTCTACTTCTGACTGCATTATGGCCTGCTTGCTCAATTTGAAACATCTTTTTGGTAGACAGAAGAAAAGTTATCATAAAGACTTCAGCCTGAGTAAAAGTAGGCAACATACATTTATCATCTCTGAAAAATGTAAGATTCATAGATGTGTAGTTTGTGTATTTTCCCCCCAGAAACTCTTAAGAGAAACTGATTGTAACTACTACATTTATATTACCTTTCAAAATCTTTGTTTTGGGCAGGGCTCACATGGTAGAGCATCTGCCTAGCAAGTGTGAGGCCCTGAGTTCAAAAAACCCAAAGGTTGAACTTTTTTTCACTTCTGGATTTGAGGTCTAGAAGAGTCCCTGCTGTTGCCTCAGCTTCTGCATGAAGTGAAGATGTAATGCCTGTTTCTTTCTTTATTTAAATGTGACTAATCCACCCAGAACATCTGTCTTTGCCTATCCTTACCATGGCACTGTTGTTCTATATATCTATCTACCAGATTTTACTGTCATTTCTTCTTCCAACTTTCTTTCTCCTCCTTTTCCTCTTTTCTTCTTCCTCCCTTCCCCCCTGGGGATTGAACCCAGGGCCTTCTGGATGCTAAGCGTGTTCTGTTCCACTGAGCTATACTCCCCCAGCGCTCTTGTAGCACTTTAGATTTCTGATTAGGATTTTTTGTCTGGTAAAGTCTATGCAAATATTCTGAAATGAACCTTCGAATCTGAAAGCACTTTGGGTGCCAACCTAAAATAGTGTCTAGTGTTTCCTGATGGCTTACTTTTGTTTAATGACTTCCTAGCAGTTGATTAATTAAAAAGGAAATTAAGAAAACTAAAATGGTTAACAAAGCATTTGGGTATATAACATTTTACTTCCCCAGTGTTTTGGTGGCAAGGCTCAGTAAACAGGATGACATGAGCTGTATGTCATGTATAGGATGGGAACCCAGCTTTATGTAACACTAGCTGCTGACCCCATTAATAGGAGTGATGTGTCACAAGTGTGGAGTGTTCTGAAGAATGTGTATTGTGATAAGTTCTCAAAAGTGGAATGATTATGACTTAGGATACTATTTGTCATATTGTAAACAAATGGGATTTTTTTCCCCTCATGCATGATCTATTTCTGTGTAATCTTTCAAGGTTGTTTTCTGGTCTGTTCCACAAGGCAGCTCAAGTTTAGAGGCAAGGCTTAGCGTCATCTTTCAGTTTTTATGTCACAGAGGATTTTTATCCAGACGTAAAATGGCCATTGGCTCCAAAACCTGACAATTGCTTTTTCCCAATCATGGTACCCGTACTTGTGATTCATGACTCTTTGAACTTTGTCTCATCAATAGATATTTCTTGTATTCCAAGTTACCAGAGTCAGTCATTGTTTTTCCTGTCCAATCTCTACATGTAACATGGTTAAGAAGGGCCAGCCATCTGCCTGAAGTTGATATTGTTTTCCCTCACGCATGGACATCAGTGGCAAACCATAGGAGAAAACAAAAAGGGATTAGAGAATACAGGGAATGTCTTTTGGAGCATTGTCTGATTTTGTGAGTTTTGTATATTTGGCCCTGATTTGCTACAGTTGCTTTTGGCTTCCACTGGATGCTTTTACTACTTTTGTATTTGAGTAACAGCTTTCCTATTCCATAGGATATAGAAGCCCTATTACTTTGTCAGAAGCATATAGAAGCCCTTCTGGAATTTTCCTCAAACCCATTCATTTTTTTCTTCTCTTTTGAAGAAAAAACCCCACCTTCTATACTGTCCTTCCAATCTTCTGTTATCTCTTTGAGGCCAACCCTTGCCCATCTTTAGTCTCTTTTCTACCCAGTAGCCAGCATTTCCATACAGTTTTCATCTGTCTATGTTGGTCCCCTACCAAAAACCTTCAGAGGCATTTAGGATAAACCAAAGTGGCTTATCCCAAGCATGGTTAAGGAGGCCCTGTGTAGCTGGCCTTTGTTACCTCTCTAGGCTTTCTTTGAGAGATGTTCTTGTTTTGTTTTATTTTGTTTTGGTAGAACTAAGGTTGGAATTCAGGGCCTTACACTTGCTAGGCAGGCACTCTACACTTGAGCCACTCCACCAGCCCTTTTTTTGTGATGGGTATTTTTGAGATAGGGTCTCATGAACTATTTGCCAAGTGCTGGCTTTGAACTGTGATCCTCCTGATCTCTGCCTCCTGAGTAGCAAGGATCACAGGCCTGAGACACCACTGAGCCATTCTCCATGTGGGTTATAGGATCAGCAGTGGGACTGATTGTAGCTTCTCTAAAGTATGTCCTTGCTCTCCTATGTGCCTTCTCAGCTTAGGGGATGACTCTTCATTAACAAAATAAGCTTTTTTTGAACCTTAATGTTTTTAAAGAACAGTTTTGTTTTTTTAACAGCAAGATTAAGATAAGAGGAAGGTGCAGGGGTTTCTTTCTCATAGGCATCTCCCCTTCCTATGCATAGTCTCCCCATTATCAACGTCGTGCACTAGATCTGTCTCTTTGTTGCAACCAATGAACCTACATCATTTTCCGAAGTCCATGGTTTATAGGAGGGCTCATTCTTTTTTTTTTTTTTTTTAACACCAAGAAAACATTTTAAATTAAACTACAGAAACAATGGTTATAGTACAGAATATTCATAAGCAAAAAGATACACCATGTTTTAAGTACATACAAAGTTACAAACCATTTGCTTCCTTAATATTTTTCCATACTTTAAATTTATACATGAGGATGATTGGATTTACCATTTTGGAGGGGGGAAAAGTGGGGAAAAAGTGTATTATCATCAGCTAGATGTGCTCACTGTATGCTCCGTTATTTATATGCAAGACCCGGGTGACGGGAAGTGCAGTTGTCAGGCATTTTAATAAACTGGACAGCCATTTGTTTCTGCACGACAAGGCATCTTTACACAGGAGCAATCAGGAGAAAACAGGAAACAGCCAAGCCACTCTGCACTGCAACACGTAGGAGGGCTCATTCTTAGAGATGTACATTGTATGGGTTTGGACTAATGTGTGATGACATGTATCTATCACTGTCATACACACAGTATTTTCACTGCCCTGACTCATCTGTGTTCTGCCTTCTCATCATTTCTCATCTAATCCTTGGCAATCACTGATCTCTTTACTGTCTGTATAGTTTTGCCTTTTCTAGAATTGTCATGGTTAAATCATGCAGCGTGTAGCCATTTCGGGCTGACTTCTTTCACTAAGTAATAGGCATTTAAGTTTCCTTGTTATCTATTCGTGGCATGGAACCTCATTTCGTTTTAGCTCTGAGTATTACTCCATTGTGTGAGTAATATCCCGTGGTCTGAATGCACCATAGTTTCTGGATCCACTGAATTACTGGAGAACATCTTGGTTGCTTCCAAGTTTTGGCAATTGTGAACAAAGTTCTATAAACACCCTTGTGGAGATTTTTATGCAGACAGATATTTAACTACTTTGGGTAAATATGAATCAAGGAGTATAATTTCTGAGTCATAATGGTAAAAGTAAGTTCACATTTGTAAGAAACCACCAAAGCGGGTTCAAAACCACTTTCTTTCAAAGTGTCTGCCCTGCTTTGCATTTGCACCTTGAGTGAGTTCTTGGCGGTCCACATCCTCACTAATATTTCATGTTTGTAGTAGTTTTGATTTCGGCCATTCTGACAGGCATATGGTGGATCTCGTTTTAATTTGTGTTTTCTTGGTGACCTCTGATGGGGAGCATCTTTGCCTATGCTTATTTGTCATCTGCATAGCATGCCCCATGTAACCCAGCAATCCCACATCTGGGTATATACTCAAAAGAATGGAAAGCAGGGACTGGGACAGGTACTTGCACACCTGTGTCGGTAGCAACACTATTCACAGTGGCCAAAATGTGGAAGTAAGTCAAGGAAAGGTTTCATGGGTATATGAATGGATTTTTAAAATGTGGTGCACACACACACAAAATGGAATATTCAGCCTTTAAAAGATAGTTATGTCGTGTGTTCTACCTAGAATGCATCATGCTAAGTAAAATAAGCCAGTCACAGAACACATGCATTGCATGATCTCACTTATATGTGGCACCTAGAACAGTTAAACTCATAAAAACAGAAAATAGATTGGAGGGTAGGAAGGGGAGAATGGGAAATTATTTAGTGGTGGTACAAAGCTTCAGTTTTTGCAAGATAAATATTTTGTAGATGGGTGGTAATTCTGGTTGCACAACGATGTATTTAGTGCCACCCAACTGGTTGGCATGGCTAAGATAGTAAATTTTATGTTATGTGTATGTATTTTACTGCAGTTAAAAATTAAAACAAAAAACCAAGCACTCCTCAGAGTAAAACCTTTGGAAATATTAGGGGAAGCATTGTGTTAGTGCCCTGCCGTAACCCGATGTGTTCCTGGTGTCTTTCAGGCCTGGCGTTTCCCTGACCGTGCAGGCGTTTTCAGAAGAGGAAAGGAAACAGTGGTTGGAAGCTCTGGGGGGAAAAGAAGCTGTAAGGATAATCCACGGCTGGGCTGTATTTCACATCCTGTAGAGCTGACTTGTGTGCATGTCTATGTTATTTTTGTTTTATAGTATTTGAGAAAAGTTCCCTGCTGAAACTGGCATTTGAATTCATCTTGGAAGCATTCAGCCCACTAGTAACTTGGCTTGGGGAGCAGCAGCACACATAAGAGTGGTGTATCGTTAGTTTTATTTCTGATTTTTCTTGACTTTGCTTGAGGAAGTCATCCAAATTGTCAATTTCTTCTCTTCTACCTGACAGTCATTTGGGCACTGAGCACAATAAATACTTACCATGCGTTTTGAGCTCAGTGGGGATGGGGCAAATAGGAAGTGACATGATTAAGTAACTGCTACTATTATTTTGCTTGATTTAACAATGAGTGGTTTTGCCTAGTGGTTACAGTATGAGGCATCACCAGCCTTAGTGAGTGGGCCTCTGTATTCACATCACTTTGAGGACTAAATTAAGGGTAGTGGAGGGCTCCAGAGGTACTGGAATTCAGTCTGTCACCACTCTGCTTAAGCATTACTTTCATTTCCATGGATTGCTGGCCTTTGGGAGTTGGCAGATCTTGTGTTGGATTGGGGATTCACAGAGAATAATTCCAGAAAACACCACAGAAGCAATTTAAATACACTCTGTGTAAAGTATGATTCTAAATAGGCTGCTGCTACCAGGTGGGCTTATCTGGAAAGTGTTTGCCATTTCTGAAAGTTTAGAGAGAAGGGGGCAAGAGGGAGGGATTTGAAAATAGAAGAGGGGTTTCTGTACTGTAAGAAGAGAGGTTTCACGTAGAGTATGGCATGGGCTGGAGCTAATGTTATGTCATGCTAACACAGCATGTTGGTGAAAGCATAGGAAACAGGGAAGGAGGCTGGCCAGCACTGTGTGTGGCAGTCTTCATGTATCCAGAAAACGAAGGTCCAGATTAATGTATTATAAAAATTAATGCTATGTAAGAGAAGGTACACCCTTGCCAAAAACCAGTGATCAGATTTGTGTCATCTTACCATATTTAAGCTATATTTACACTCGATAGCTTTATCCTTATTTATTTTATCTTATTATATTATTATTATTATTTGCTTATTTAGTTTTTGAAGTACTGGGGATTGAACCCAGGGTCTCATGCATGCTAGGCAAGTGCTCTACCTCTCGAGCCATGCTCTCAGACTTGTGTTTTTATTTTTACCTTTATTTTTATTTTTATTGCAGTGCTTGGGATGGAACCCAGGGCCTCACAAATGCTATGCAAATCTACCACTTAGCTATATCCCCAGCTCCTATTTCTGTCTATTTATACTTAATTAGACCTTAAAATTTTTAGCTGGGAGCCAAAAAGTGCTTACAGTGTCGATGGTAACTGCAGGTTATGTTAATCCGTTTTAGTAAATGCAATTCACTAACCAGGATGTATCTCCCAGGTGAGTCAAGAAGCACTTTAGAAAGTGAGATTTTATAGCAGAAAGGATCACGTGACTAAGTCATTGTGAGCTGTCTGTTTCCAATGTAGTGTGTTCTTGAACACATATACTATATAAACTTCGCCAGCATAAAGTGATGAACAGGTGATTAACAAAGGCAAATCTGCAGAAAGTCAGTATTCAGCTGTGTATTTGTACAGGGGACCATAAGGTACAGCATATTTTTTGCAGGTGTTATATATCTTGCAAATAATTGGCCAGAACTAGAATTCTTAGAGGCTGTTGAGAATTACCACCTCGCTACTCCAGATAAAACTGGATTTAAACTATTGACAGCAGTCATCTCTTTGTTACACAAATACCAGATATTAGAAGTGGTAGTGAGAAGGTGAGCATTCATCTTACTGGTTAGAATGCAGGAGTCTGTCAACCCATAGCTGCAAGGCTTCGTGCTTCAAATTTACACTGACTTGTCCCTTAAGACCACAACCTTATTTATTTCTTGCCAGTTTGGCATACCTCTGTGAGAGAACAGTAGTCAGAGACGCTGTTATCTTTACTGTGAGCACACAATCCTATGGAACCAGCTGAGACATCATGCCTCTTCTGCATTCTCACGCAGAATACCACATGTGTGGGTTTTCTCGAACACTGACCAGCCCTGTGACGCTAGCTGGGGTCCTACAGTTTAATTCATTTCTGACACTATCTACCTGGAGTGTCAGTGGCAGCTTCAGGTTACACTGAATTCTGGATGACTGCCTCTGCCTCAGATATCTGTCACAAGTCTGGGCTTTTGTGGTAGAGTTTGGCTATAAATTGGGAATTCCTGTGGCCCCACCCCCACTTTGGATCAATAACTGACTAGAATGGCTCATAGAACTCAGAATAAAGTTTTATTTACTAGTGTTTTATAAAGGCTACAACCCAGGAACAGCAAGATAAGATGAGATGCATAGGGCCAGGTCTGAAGTAAGGGTGGAGTGGGGCACAGAGCTCCCATGTTTTCTATGGGCTTTCACCCTCCCAGTCTTCAATGTGTTCACCAAACCGGAAGTTCACCAACTCTTTATTTTTATTTGTTTGGGTGGTACTGGGGTTTGAACTCAGGGCCTTGGGCTTGCCAGGTTAGTGCTCTGTCACACGAGCCATAACCTGGCCCTTTTGCTTTATTTGATTTTTCAAGTAGGGTTTCACTTTTGCCTGGGCTGGTGATCTTCCTGCCTCTGCATGCCAAATCACTGGAAAAACAGGAGTGTGAGTCCACCTTGTGTGAGTCTGGTTGGCCTCAAGCCTGGATCTTCCTCTCTCTGCCTCCCATAAAATCTTCTTATTTGAGTTTTTAAATAGCTTATCTCCATCTCATTCCCCAGGAGGTCAGTGGGTGGGGCTGAAAGTCCTATCCACAGGGGTCTTATCTTCTGTGACCTCATTAGCAGAAACTCAGGTGCAGGCAAAAGGGGCTTACTATGAATAACTGAGCTGTTCCTGTCAGGAAACCCCAAGGGTGGAGGAGCTTTTTGCCTCAAAGCAGGGACAAAGACCAGACATACTTCTTCTCCCACATTAGCCAATGTCAAATTTACGAAAACATTATTGCATGGTTTTAAGCACACCTACTTGAATCACTGTTACTGATGTGATAAAAATATTGTTTTCCTTTCTCTCTCTCACTAGCTGTTCCATAGTTTTAATAGAGCCATCATCCCAAGACCGGAAGGAAGTAAGTGTTCATTTATAAAATGACTGTACTTCCCTTTCTTCATGTGTCACTCTGTGTTCTTTCCTGATGTCACAGCATTGTCAGGTCTCCTCTCTGCACCCCTTTGACTTAGTCCTCTGTCTACCACTTGTCCTCTCTATTGGGGACCATCTCTGAGTGCTCAGGACTGCCGTAGCCCTCATTCATCTTTCCCATTGTGAGCTTTTTTGAATTTTCCTCCACCACTTAAGTTGCTGTTTATTCTTTTATTTTATTTTTATTCATATGTGCATACAATGTTTGGGTCTTTTCTTCCCTCTTCCCCCACTCCCTCCCTTACCCCCCCACTCCGTCCCTTGCCCCCCTGCCCCCTCCCTCTCCCCCCTTACCCCCTCACTACCTGGCAGAAACTATTTTGCCCTTATCTCTGATTTTGTTGTAGAGGGAGTATAAGCAATAATAGGAAGGACCAAGGGTTTTTGCTAGTTGAGATAAGGATAGCTATATAGGGAGTTGACTCACATTAATTTCCTGTGCGTGTGTGTTACCTTCTAAGTTAATTCTCCTTGAACTAACCTTTTCTCTAGTTCCTGGTCCCCTTCTCCTAGTGGCCTCAGTTGCTTTAAAGTATCTGCTTTAGTTTCTCTGTGTTGAGGGCAACAAATGCTATCTGGTTTTTTAGGTGTCTTACCTATCCTCACCCCTCCCTTGTGTGCTCTCGCTTTATCAGGTGATCAAAGTCTAATCCCATTGTTGTGTTTGCCCTTGATCTAATGTCTGCATATGAGGGAGAACATACGATTTTTGGTCTTCTGTGCTGTTTATTCTTATAGCCATAAATGACCACAGAAGAGATTCAGGTGTTCAGTCTTCAGCTTTCTGTCTGAATTGCAGGATCCTGTGTGTAGAAGCTGTTTCTTAGGTCCCTGTTTTCACCCTCCTCATCCTACCTTTTGTCATTTCTAAAGAGAAAACAACAGTGAGAGAGTCCCTGGAACACATATGCCATTTAGTTAGAATTAGCAGGGACTTGTGATGGGCATGTTCAAAGAGGATGAGGCAAGAAGAAAACTTTAAAGGCAAAATGAGAAGGATTATAGCAGATATTTTAAAATGATGGGCTTTAGGCACAATGGTTAGTAACAAGAGTGGTGCCAACCCATGGTTGAACACATATGCTGGGAAGATGACCTTGTAGAATTAGTTTTCATGAACGATTACTGTCCTGGCCTGTGGTTCTGGGAGAGGATTTTGTGATAGTTACTGTTAGGCTGTCATGTGTGAGAACCCACCCTTTCATCATAACCTCCCAGTTTCATCTCCTTTTTTCTTTTTGGTTGACAGTGGGGACTCTATTTTGATTTTGACACTTTTGTGTTCCTTTCATACTTTGGTATCCTTTCTTCTTATAGCCTCTTAGTATGGACTATCCAAGTAGTATATTACACCTTGAAAAATAGCAACAACAAATAATTAAGGCTTTTCACATATTCTAGGAGGATCTTCGCGTGCACTGTATGTAGAGGAAAATAAAGTATTGTCTACCACTGCACTTTTGATTAATACTTAGATGAAGGAAACATGACGGGATTTACTATATTCTATGAATTTACTTTTGATATGTTTGGACACATCAAGGTTACATTTGTGAGATGCTTATAGTTTGGAAACACTGTTACATAACATGGTTTTTTTGGTGGTAGTAGGGTTTGAACTCAGGGCTTCACGCTTGCTTGGGGAGCTCTACCACTTGAGCTGCACGAGAGTCCATTGTGTGATTTCAAAATAGTCCTGATGACTGTGCCAGTGTTTGAATAAAAGGCATCTCTAGCCTGGCCTTGGATGTTGACAGGTGCCCAGAAGGGGAGCACATCCACTGGGGCACCTCTTACCCTGTCTTCCCTCCACCCCAATCCTTCTCACCTTTGCTCATTCCTTCCACTGTCTTTTTCCCACTCCTCCCTGTTCCTTTTTTTTTTCTTCTCTCATTTCTTCCTTTGCCCTTTCTCTCTTCTTCCTGCCCCTTTCCATTTTTTATTTATCATAGAGAAGCTGAAACACACCTTTTGGGAGAAATAGTTTTGCAAAGCAGAAAGAAATACGTGGCAGTTTATAAAAGTTTGTGAATAGTAGATTCTAGAACAGTAAACCACTTCTCAGTTTTCATCCTTAAAATTCTCCTGAAGCTTAGCCTCATGGGTTACATACACAGTTTATATATTCATGGACTGGGAGTCTTGAGAGAGCCAAGGGTTAGGGTTACAGTTCCCTGGGCCCTAAGTGCAGTGGCTAAGAGGGCCACTTTTCTCGATTTGATTTTGGAAAACAAGAATTGTCTTTCAGTAGAATTTATAAATACTCCACCTGAAGCAAAGGCAAACTTCTGCCACACAAGTCATCTGTTTGTAACCCATTATGAAAATAATAAAATATTATTTTAAAAGTTTGGAGCATGGCATAAAATACCATAATTTTACTTTAAGTTCCTTGCTCAAATAGTACATTTTAAAAAACCTTTCTTAAAAATTTCCATGTTTAAAAAAGCTTGCCTTCTTAGATTCTCAAGTAATCTAAGAACCTTTACTCGTATTTATAGTTGTCTTTAACTGAGCAACTGTTGGGATTTTTGGCAAAATAGATATTGACTATTTCTAGATAGCTTTGCTTTAGAGATTGCCATTACTTTTGAGCACTTAAAATCAATTGTATTTATTCGGGTAAATTATTCTATATTATAAATTGATTTAAAAATTAGTAATAGATATCCTGCTCTTCCAGAAAATGCAGTTTTAAATATATGAAACTCCCATTTATATCATTTACCTGAGGCAATACATGGCCTTTAGCTTTCAAGGATAGTGAAGCAAAAGTTACATTGCATTTAACTTTTCTCATCTTTTTTGTTAGGAGGATAAATATGATAAGCACATGTACCCTTAATATTTCATTTTAATTTGTTTTATTTTATGTTTTAGGTGCACAGCTGGATCAGACAGGATTCACAATTCTCAGAAAATGTATCAGTGCAGTGGAAACACGAGGTAATGTGATCGTCTCAATCATTTTATTCATGAAAGGCTTTAGGTATGTAAATCTGAAAGTCATTTAAAATACTCATCTCAGGATTAAAGGTTGTCACGTAAAATACATTAACAAAACGCTCATTTTAGGTATCTGAGTCAGTTCCTTATTTACTGGGACAGTGTGGGATTTTCCTTTTTCATGGAAACGGGAGAACCTTGGTTCTCCTTTGTCCTAAAACATGAGGTTGAAATGAGAATTGGATTTGTTTGCTAGGTCTGCCATAACGAAATGCCACAGACTAGATGGCTTAAACAACAGAAATGTATTTTCTCATAGTTTTGGAGACTGGAAGGCCAAGATCAAGGTGTTGGCAGGCAGCTTCTTCTGAGGTCTGTGACTGGCTTGCTGATGACTCCTTTGCACTGTGTCTGCCTGCACATTTACTTGGTGGTGTCTCTTTTGTATTTGCACATTTCCCCCTTGTATAAGGGTTCAAGTCATACTGGATCAGGGCCCTGCTCTAATGTCTTCATTTTAACCTCATCACTTCTTTAAATTCCCCATCTCCCAAACCTGTCACATTCTGAGGTACTGGGGATTAGGGGAACACAGCTCAGCTGATAAAATCTTTGGACGGGCTAGCAGTGTGGGACAAGCAATTTTTTTTGTTTGTTTTGGTGCTAGTGGGGTTTGGACTCAGGGCCTTGCTCTTGGGAGGTAAGAGCTCTACCTATCACTTGAGCCGTGCCCTCAACCCTTCAACAGACAATCTGTCACATTTTGTTCAAGGACTTTGAAGTTCTTTGTTCTGTTTTATCTTTTGGGTCCCCACCCAGCATATGCAAGGCTTTGGTTTGATCTCCAGCAACATATAAAAAAGAAAAATCATCTTCCTGAGGTAAAATTAAGATAAGCTATACAAAATGGTAAGTTTCAAAAAATGGAAACAGTTAAGTAACTGCTGCTACTGTAACCATATCTGATTTCCCCAAATTCCTTCTGCCCCTTTGCAGTTATCAGCACTGTACCCCTGTGCAATTCCCATCTTGGTCTCTGCATTCACTGAGTTGCTTTTTATCATTCTAGGTCTGTCTTGAAAGAAAGTAAAATATTTCAAAACATTTTGTACAGTGGAATCATTTAGTTTATAGTCTTTTGACTCTGACTTTATTGAACATGGTGCTTTGAGGATTTCTATTACTGAGCGTATCCTCATGTTCACTTCTTTTTCATTGCTGGGTGATGTTCCATTTTGTGGATATACCACAGTTTGTTTATCTACTCACCTGTTAATAAATATTTGGTGTGTTTCCATTTAAAATTTATGGAAAGCTAAATTAGCCTCCACCAACCAAAACCCAAAGAACTTTATTTTATAGTCCCAAAGAAAACACAGGGCTGTTGTACTTTGTAGACATTCCATAAACTTTGGAGAAGCCGGATGTTGTAGTTCTCTATGTTTGAAGACCCAGTGAAATATGAATAAGTTGATGCTGGGAAAACTGGTTAGCAGTCTGCAAAAAACTGAAACTAGATCCATGTATATCACCCTATACCAAGATTAACTCAAAATGGATCAAGGATCTTAATATCAGACCACAAACTCTTAAGTTGATACAGGAGAGAGTAGGAACTGCTCTGGAGTTCGTAGGTATAGGTAAGAACTTTCTCAATGAAAACCCAGCAGCACAGCAACTAAGAGATAGCATAGATAAATGGGACCTCATAAAACTAAAAAGCTTCTGTTCATCAAAAGAAATGGTCTCTAAACTGAAGAGAACACCCATAGAGTGGGAGAAAATATTTGCCAACTATACATCAGACAAAGGACTGATAACCAGAATATACAGGGAACTTAAAAAACTAAATTCTCCCAAAACTAATGAACCAATAAAGAAATGGGCATGTGAACTAAACAGAACTTTCTCAAAAGAAGAAATTCAAATGGCTATAGCAATAAAGGAAATGCAAATTAAAACCACGCTAAGATTCCACCTCACCCCTGTTAGAATAGCCATCATCAGCAACACCACCAACAACAGGTGTTGGCGAGGATGCGGGGAAAAAGGAACCCTCTTACACTGTTGCTGGGAATGTAGACTAGTACAACCACTCTGGAAAAAAATTTGGAGGCTACTTAAAAAGCTGGACATCGATCTACCATTTGATCCAGCAATACCACTCTTGGGGATATACCCAAAAGACTGTTACTCCAGAGGCACCTGCACACCCATGTTTATTGCAGCACTATTCACAATAGCCAAGTTATGGAAACAGCCAAGATGCCCCAGCACTGACGAATGGATTAAGAAAATGTGGTATCTATACACAATGGAATTTTATGCAGCCATGAAGAAGAACGAAATGTTATCATTCGCTGGTAAATGGATGGAATTGGAGAACATCATTCTGAGTGAGGTTAGCCTGGCTCAAAAGACCAAAAATCGTATGTTCTCCCTCATATGTGGACATTAGATCAAGGGCAAACACAACAAGGGGATTGGACTTTGAGCACATGATAAAAGCGAGAGCACACAAGGGAGGGGTGAGGATAGGTAAGACACCTAAAAAACTAGCTAGCATTTGTTGCCCTTAACGCAGAGAAACTAAAGCAGATACCTTAAAGCAACTGAGGCCAATAGGAAAAGGGAACAGGTACTAGAGAAAAGGTTAGATCAAAAAGAATTAACCTAGAAGGTAACACCCACGCACAGGAAATCAATGTGAGTCAATGCCCTGTATAGCTATCCTTATCTCAACCAGCAAAAACCCTTGTTCCTTCCTATTATTGCTTATACTCTCTCTACAACAAAATTAGAAATAAGGGCAAAATAGTTTTTGCTGGGTATTGAGGGGGCGGGGAGAGGGAGGGGGTGGAGTGGGTGGTAAGGGAGGGGGTGGGGGCAGGGGGGAGAAATGAACCAAGCCTTGTATGCACATATGAATAATAAAAGAAAAATGAAAAAAAATATGAATAAGTTGAATATTTAATTCACTTTTTTTTTTTTGGCAGTACTGGGGTTCAAACACGGGGCCTCATACTTACTAGGCAGATGTTCTACCACTTGAGTCACTCCACCAGCCCTTAATTCATTCTTATTTATTGTATGCTCCAGTCCTGTTTTGGATGACTTGATGGTTTGAAGTACTTGCATCCGCATTTTTGGTTCAGACAGGACCTTTGTTATAAAGCCAGACTGGCACTTGTGAGATTGGCTTGCTGGGTAATGGATGAATACGAGCTGTCTTATGACATGCGGGTTTGCCTATCAGTAACAACTCAAGCCCCAGAAAGCCTTCTCACCCACTCTCTTACAGTGGCAATTCAGATTGATGGTCAGGCTTTCCATCATTTCATACTGTGCTGAAGTTGAGCTAACAAATTTGTTCATTTTCCTTGTGCTTCAGAAATTGCTATAATTATAATATTTCTCATTCAACACTCATGTTTCTTTATCCCTGAGGTCCTTAAGTTAGAACCTTAATCATATCATTTGCATGCTTATTAATGTTGATAAATTAAATTCTTTCCCCAAAGCGTGTGTTTTATACATGCTTCTGCCTGAACAAATAAAGGATCTATCTAGATGGTTTTCTTACTGGGATGTGCAGCTTTGAGGAGTGTTATGTACACTGAATAGCATAAATATATTGAAATCTGCATATATGTTATTGGAAGTATATAAGTTGCTAGTTCGTTTTAAGAGAAGAACGGCTCCATATTTTTTACATTAGATTTGCCATTTAAAAATAGAACCAAAAAGCATGTTTCTTTTTTCAAATCTTTTGCTCCCAAAGGTCTTCCATTACTGAAACCTTTTGCTTTCAGTGGAATAATAGACTAAAAATAGTTTGAAAATGTCAACAGATCATGTTATCAAAAATGATAGAGAGCACTGTAGAGTCTCTGAGATTTTTATCCAAAATTTGGAAGTTCTTCACTGTTTTGCAGTTAGCCCTCTTAGCTGTTTATCTTTTTTATGTTATGGGTGGTGCTTTCTCCCTTTTTTCTACCAGGATACAGTTAGCTTGTGTTGCTATAATAAGAAATCCCCACATCTCCACGGCTTAACACACAAGACCTCCTTTTCATTCATCAAGTTTTTTTGAAGGCTTTGCTCATCAGTCAGATACCTGGGTCTTTGGAGTAGCCAACCAAGTTCAAGGTTTCTGGTTGCCTTGCCAGAGGGAGATTGCTCTGGAAGGCTTTGCACTAGCAAATCCATTCTCCAGTTTGGAAGAATTCTGCACACAACTACGGGGGCCATTAGTAGACACAAAGGGTCAAGGAAGCATAACCCTCCTGTGATCTGGAAAATACAGGTTCAGAGCTTGAAAGAATGGGTGACTTACAGATTGATAACTGCTGTGCTTTTCTTAGTCTTCATGCCTATTGGCCAGCAACACTTAATCATCTCATTGGATTTCCTTAGCACTTGTGAAGGAAGTTTGGTGCCTGTGGGGAGAAGACCACTGGAGGATCTTAGCCACCATCTTGCTCCACCTGCAGCAGTACTGAATTTAAAACACTGTCTTTAGTATTTTAAATATGATTGTTGTTGTTTGAAAACTACCATTTCATATGGTTTGGTTGAAGAAATTATCCTTTTGTTGCCTTTATCTCAGATGCTTTTTTAAAAAAAGGACATTTGGCATTTTTGTTATCAAACTTATTTGTGATATTACCAAAATAGTTGAAAAGCTTCAAATGTATGAAGTTTACTATACTCCTCAGTACCCTCAGAAAAGGTAACATTTTCATTTGTCCTAACATGCTCACCTTTGTCAGTTATTCTAATTTTGAGATGAGAACAAATCCCATTTTGCTACCATGTCAGTATCAGAACACACTCTGTAACTTCATGAGCGAGTAACTGTAAAAACGTGAGTGTATGCCAAGTTGAAGGATTTCTTCAACTGTTGCTGCGTATAAACCACCTGGGACCTTTAAAAATACCTGTGCTGGGCCCAGTTTGACTTAATTGCTAATGGGTGAACTGGGAAGTGGGAGTTTTTT